GTGATGTTAGCATTTGCAAATGAGTATAATCTTACATTTTTTTGCTCCTACTTTTGTCTTTCATGTATTTATATATTTACATGTTTATTTTTGCCAAATTGTCTAAAATCCTCCAGTACACTGTTAAATAAAAAAGGCAAGCAAGTTATGCTTTTTAAAATCCCTGATCCTAAGGGGAAAAAATCTTTCAGTATTTTGAAATTAGTTATGCTGTGAGATTATTTGTAGATAACCTTTACCATGTTGAGGATACTCCCTTTCTACTCCTAGTATTCTCTTAGTTTCTATTGAGATAATCATGTAGATTTTATCTCTTATTAATATGGGTTTACCTTGCATTCCTGAGGTAAGCCATATTGAATCATAGTATACAATTCTTTTTAGATGCTGTTCCACTGGGTTTGCTGATATCTTGTTGAAGTTTTATGCATATATTTTCCATGACATAGCACTATCTCTAACACTGGCTATTTTTTTAATTTTTCAAGAAGTCTTTATTATTTTATTTATCAGAAAAGGCAACTGAGACATTTCTAAATTTATAGTATATTTAATACAAAAATAATGATTTTTCCAAAATATATACTAAAACTACAAAGTGTAGGATCAAAAAAAAGAGGAAAATCATATTTCTGTCACCCAAAACAAGAGCTTGTGATCTCCTCCACCTGCACATAGCGCAAGTGTTCTATGCCAGGAAAGAACAGATCGGACAGCTGCAGAACCAGGAAGGATGGGCTGAGAGTGTCCTAAATGATGAACTTGAAACTGACTTGCCATTTTGCCAGGATATCCAGTGGTTGCAAATAAGTTTTTGCTAATTGCAGACCAACTAAATAAGTGTGCTCGATCCATATGAACAGGTCTTGTCTCTTGAGGATAACTGGACCGGGTGATATCCCAAATGATCCAATCATTTCCTTCAACAGCACCAACTCTGAAGGTGTTTTTCAAGCACCAGTGTGCTGACCTTAAGGTGTCTGTTATGACTGAAGAGATGAAATTGCCTGTTGGGCCCTAGTTTATCAGAAAACCAGATTGTTCCGGTCTTCTCTGCAGCCATCAGCTTAAAAGTTTCCTCGGGGTGCCAGCACACACTCATTCCAGGAGAATGAAGAAGAAAATGAGGTGGCTGCTTCCCTTCCAAGCTCCAAATCCGGCAGGTGTGGTCATCACTTACACTTTCAATTTCATGGCCTTCCTTGGGATGGAACACCAAGTCATTAATGAAATCTGCATGACCCTCCAAAATCTTATATTCATTTTTATCTTGAAGATCTGAAGTAAGCAATCTAATCTTCGTTTCAGCAGCTGAAGTACAAAATGTGGTTACTGCAGACAGTGAATCAAGCCTGGTCTCTGAGCTCCAGGCTATGCCATCAACTCTATGATGAAATTTCCGTAGTGTTTTGTACTGAATTCCTTCGATATCTCTTTCTTCCTCCTGGATGTACACATGCCAATAACCACATAATTACTGGCACTATGTGCAATTAGATTTCCTGAATCCCCACTCTCAAAGGGATTAAAGTCTACCACAGGCACACAATCTTTACCATCCACAGTGTAGGCAGCATTTCTTGTAGCATCTTGCTTGATCTTATATCTCAAAAACTGGAGCAGTTGTAAGACTCCAATAGCCTTCTATTGGCTGTCACGAAATGAAGGCAGGGAGGCGACCTCAGCACATCTCTGATGACTGTGGGCCTATTTTATACCTGTATAAATCTCCATCACCAAGGAAATAGTTGCATCAACTACTTAACAATTTAAACAAAAACGTGAAGCAGGACTATATACAGTAATGCATATGACCTTTCAGACAGGTCATGTTTTTAAAATAGCAAATATTCATTAAAATATTGTAGTATCATATGATACTGAGTTATAATGCTACTCCTGACATTCATGTACAATGTGGACAAATACAAATATTATATATATTTATCCAAATATATTTTACAAGAACACATATAAGTGACCATATATCAAATGATAAAGGTGTTTCCAGTAGAGAGATAAATGGGATAAAGTGTCCTTAAGATTCAATTGTTCATAAAAGTTCTATAGTCTATTGTCTCATGTATTTTGTGTAAACTTAAAAAAATAGAAATTGTTTTATCATAAAAGTGAGTTCGCCGGGCGGTGGTGGCGCACGCCTTTAATCCCAGCACTCGGGAGGCAGAGGCAGGCGGATCTCTGTGAGTTCGAGGCCAGCCTGGTCTCCAAAGCGAGTTCCAGGAAAGGCGCAAAGCTACACAGAGAAACCCTGTCTCGAAAAACCAAAAAAAAAAAAAAAAAAAAAAAAAAAAGTGAGTTCACTGGTATGTGTAAACCCATGTGCTAACAAATTACACTATAAGCCAGGGGAAATTCCTGCTCCGTACCTCACTGTCCTGTCCCTCACAGCTCACAGGCCTACTATGGTTATACTATAATCAATGCATGTGATATAGACATGTAAATAACCTTACCTTCACACACTGAAATGCAGAATAATATATCTATTCCTGTTGTAATCAGCAAAAAAAATGAATAAAGATGGATAGCATTTAGCATTCATAAGACTCTTTTCCATTGAAAAAGATATTTGAAAACAGGGTGAGGCAGGGAAGTTCTTTTTTTTCCCCTAGAGATTGAACAGCTTGTGTCATGAAGAGACAGTGAAGTTAATGCATTGCTTTTGTGTATCTATTGAGATTGTGGTAGTGTCTTTCTTCCCAACAATACAAGACCTCAGAGCAATCAAACAGTATTTACACTCTCCATGGATTAGGCCAGTGGTTCTCAACCTTCCTAATGCTGCCACCCTTTAATACACTTCTATGTTGTGGTGATCCCCAACCATAAAATTATTTTAGTTGCTACTTTGTAACTGGAATTTTGCTGCTGTTATGAATCATAATGTAAATATTTTGGAGATAGAGGTTTGCCAAAGGGGTTGCGACCCACAGGTTGAGAACCGCTGGTTTAGATGCGGTGTGGATCTGTACCTTGCAAAATAATGTTCTTGTTACTTCATATTCATGGTGCTTGCTTAACTTTACATGAATGTTTGTGCATTGCATGGCTGTATTTTTTTTTTTTGGTTTTTCGAGACAGGGTTTCCCTGTGTAGCTTTGCGCCTTTCCTGGAACTCACTTGGTAGCCCAGGCTGGCCTTGAACTCACAGAGATCCGCCTGGCTCTGCCTCCCGAGTGCTGGGATTAAAGGCGTGCGCCACCACCGCCCGGCGCATGGCTGTATTTTAAATTCTCCTTGTACCTTACAAGAATGTATAGCATCAGATTAACAGAAAAGAATGTGTGTGTGTGTTTAAAGGTACTAAGACATGTTGAAAAGCCTGATAAAATGTTGAAATATGTTTTTTTAGTGTATAAGTCAAATTTTTTTAGCAGTATAAGTCAAATTTTAGTTTTTAGTTTGATTAGGTTGCTTTAATTATTGAGTACTATTTTTTATAATGAAAGAGCATCTGTATTGTGAAAAAATCAATCTGTAAATAACCCTCCAGATGTTTTCTAGCCTTCATGTAGCTGGACCTAGAAATCTAGAAGTGTGTTTTTAAATATGAGTCCCTCTAGTGTTTCAGTGATCACATTTGGGACACACAGCATCCTCACAGAGGCTGAGGGAAATGCAGACCCCGGGCTCAAGCCTAGACACAGGTGTAAATGATGTCTGCCAGTCTGCACTCCAGAATCCCAAAGTCACATCGGGCCACTTACTGACACAGTGTTCCCAGTTGACTTGACATTCCTTGACTGGCTCCCTGACAGCTGCCACGGCTTTCCACCCTGAAGGGTTACTACCTACCCACTTCCAAGCACCACGAACAGCCGCAGCATGCACAGCTCCCACACTACGTGGAAATAATCAAGAAAGCAGGAAAAAGTATATGCCATGACAGTCAGAAATCATCACCAGGGCAGTGGAGGCAGGAGGTGGTGTGCAGCAAGGGGAAATCACGGTTTCGTTGTAGGATGAATCTCTTTGCCTTTTGTTATGATCCTGTAAGGATGTTCAGAGGAAAGTCAAACTGTGACAGAGCATGAAGGAACCTCCAACAGATGTGTGGGGCCAGAGCACTCCTTATGTGTGCCCATGTTGATTCCAGGCAGTCAGAACAAAGTGCCACTGCCAGGTGGCAGAAACAATAGAATTGTGGTGTTTAGCCTGGAGACAGGAAGTCTGAGATGAAGGTGTGGGTGGGGTCGGTCTGGTCTCCTCTGGCTTTTGGTGGTGGGCACTCTGGTGCTGCTTGGTGTGTGGAAGCGTCGCTGTAGTCTCCACCTTCGTGTTCTCAAGGTGATTGCCTGTGCCATACCTGTATGCAAATCCCTCCTTCTTCAAAGGTATTTAGGGCTGGCGAGATGGCTCAGCAGATAAGGGTGCTGGCTGCCAAGCTTGATGACCTGAGTTTGATCTCTAGAACCCATGTGGTGGAAAGAGAGAACTGACATTCCTAAGTCTCCCCCGACATTATCTACACATGCAGTGTGACACAGGTACCCCCCCACACACACAATAAACAAATAAGTAAATTTAATTTTAATAAAAAGGTATCATGTCATATTGGATTAAGGCCTTCCTGACTCCAATACATGTGCAACCCTCCTATTTCCAAATGACAGCACACTCTAGCACACACAGACACCTACATAGCTCTGCAGGGTCGGACTCCGTCCTGATTTGTAGTCATTGCCCTCGAGAGCGACTGGGTTCTGGGATTTAAAAATACATGTTCTAGAGAGGGAATTGCAACTCAACATAGAGTGCATACCAGTGGAGTGTTCCAGAAACTGAATGGCCAAGAAATTGTAGACTTAGAAGAAAGAACTCCCTGTGAGTTGGTGTTTGCGCTCTCAGCCTGTGTCAGCCTGCAGTCTCTGAGCCCACCACAGGGGGGCGTGGTTGGGCAGTTTAGATGGGGGCGTCTGGAGGGGCCTCTGGTCCAGGACTGAGGTGTGCTTCAGCTGTATGTCATCTTGTCACCACAGGTTATATCGAAGCTGCTGTCATTCCGGCCGGGGCTCGGAGGATCCGCGTGGTAGAAGACAAGCCTGCTCACAGCTTCCTGGGTAAAACAAAACTCTACTGATTCTGATGACTAGGTTCTAGCAGCTCTGGTTCTGCATCTTCCTCCCAGTGTTGTATGTATGTGCACTCCTATACACCTTGTCCCAGGGGAACCCTGGTGTCACCCCTCCGCTCTCATTGTAATACTGTAAGTACTCAAAATGGACCAGACAGCACTTTTGGCAGCAAGATCCAAGGTATGTTTGGGGCGGGTGGGTAGGGTAGATTCAGTGAAGCATGCCCCCACCCCCAGCTAAAGGAGGCCCTATGAGTGATTCCAGTCTTGCCATTAACCTCCAGCAAAGATCAGCTGGTCCTGAGCAGCAGGGAGTCAGGGCACTGCATTGAACTTGTGTTGTTTCCACAGGCCTCAGGGAGAACACAGACACTCCTTAGGGCTTCAGGGGCTGCTCTGCTCTTTGTTCACTCAGATAGAAATACTGTCACCCATATTCTTTGGTCAGTCTAAACCCCATGGTCCTTGTTTGGTTTAAATTTCAAACGAGACATGGCTGATCTCCTATTCAGCCTGTGAGGCAAGGTGTCAGGCAGGGGGTATAATTGCTCAGTATTTGGGGTAAATCAGAATTGCCCATGAAACCTTTTAATATGAACTTTTAACACTGATAGAAAAAGAAATTGTGTCTTAGACCACATTCCTACCTTTTCAGATTATACAAAAGTATCCGTGCCTTTCTTAAAGGTGGTCACAACTTGAGTTAACTCTAATGAGACAGACGCAGAATCAATCTCTAGCAGATCCGTGTTAATCAGGACCATGGTACTATTGTGCAGAGCCTTAGATGATGACGATGGCACTATTATAGAGCATTTAGTGACGTGCTGTACTGGCTGAGGGGGGACACTCCAAGGGACACTTCATATCGGCCTCATTCCAGCCAAGTCTACCACACTCTGTCCCCCCACACAGAAAGATGCTTATGAACGCTGCCTAAAACAGGCTGTGTGCTGCTTCGGACAACTTTTCCAGAGTGGCAGCCTTTCCCTAAATTCCTGGAGACCCCACCCCTTCCTGTTCACCTGTGGAAGCTGGGTCTACTTCCGCAACATTGGCATTAGAAGTCTTGCCACTCAGTGTCTCCCCAACATTTACCTCTCCTAACTAACGCTCTAGGAATGTACTATTTCCCAGGGAACCATGCTTCTGTTCCTAAGGGGGGCACTGAGGCTCCACAAGAGGCCAAGGTCCACTCTCACCCCTATCTTACGAAGTTATGAAGCCAGTGGTCTAAGAGCTGGCCCAGCTCTGAGTGCCCCACATCAGTTCTTCCATAAGGCCAGCAACAGGTACTCAGCAGGTAAAGTCCTTGGGCTCCCAAGATGCCTCAGCACCCATCCTGCCTGTCCCATCCCCACATGCCTGAATGAAATGATAAGACTTCCTCCAGTTCCGCTTTTCTATGGAGTGTAAACACAGCAGAGGACAATATCAGAATCAATAAATCCTCAATATCTAAGCCCTAGAATATAAAGGAACTCTTCGCTGGAACCCACATCAGGGTCTGGGGGAAAAAAAAACAAAAACTGGTGGACGCTGCTGGGGGCAAAGGGCTTGCTGTTAATTGGTCCTGTCAGCTCTACTGTGGAAGCCTAGAGGCCGCATATTCAAAGGAGAGTAGTAATGCCCATGTTTGTGGTTCCCGGTTACTGGACAGTGGTGTCCTTTAGAGACCTGACCCCCCACATCCCAAAATACCACAGAGTATCATCGCTGTGCTAGATCCGCAGACAGCAGGCCGAAGCCCCTGGAGGTCTACTTGTATGTCCAGGTCCTCCCTCCATCTGAATTCACTGCAGCCTGCAGCCCCTCAGAATTGCCCGTGGAGTCCAACTCCGGCCAGAGGTTGACTGATGGAGATGACATTTCATTGTGTGCACTGCAGAGAAGCTAAAATCTGTATCCCAAGAAGATTGATTTAAGTGTCTGAATGACTTGGCTCCCAGAAGCAGCACTGTGCCTCCATGGGATCTTGGAACCCGCCTCGGTCCCCTTATCTTACCCCAGATTCATAATCCCAGGATTTCAGGCCCTGGCACACAGACGGGAGCAAGCCTGAAGGTGGTCCACGCTCGCTCGTTATGTTTCTAGAGTCCGCTCCAACAGGCCGTGTTTCCACTCAGGGCTGGGAGCTTTGGAAGTCAACCCAGTGTAATTCTGAATTACTCTCACATTTGCTGGGAGCAGTTCCTGAAGAATTTCACCCCCGCCTACCTTCAGCCCACGCTGGCTGGCTTTCTGCTCCAAACCACCTGGAACAGGAAATGCCTCCACAGTTTGTATCCATGGCTAAGAACAGTGCTGGCTGGACTCCTGGTGGAAAAGAAAAGGAAAAAAACTGACCCAGTGCCAGGAGTAGAAGTAGGTTGACTGTGGGTCAGGTCTTCCAGTTGACTCAGGGAGAGGAAAACTGCAAAGAACCCGCTGGTCTTCTGCACCCCTCTGAGCCAGGAGAGAACAAGCAGGCAGGGAGAGAACCTGCCTCCGCAAGGCCAGCTCTGACAAGGAATGCCCCTCCTTGCTCGGGGGAATACTTACTGTCTTCTCTTACGGTGCCTGAAAGTCCCAAGATGGTGGGAAAATATCCACCCAGAGAAGAGTGCGAGCTGAAAATGGTTGGATGTTCAGCATGTGACCTCATTATATTCTGGGCTGTGCAGAGATCTTGTTCTGCCCTGGTGGTCAAATAAAGGTGCACCTGTCCCTGGGGTACCCTGCAAAAAGTCTGCCCAACAATTGAAAGTCCACAAAGTATGCGCCTTTGTTTTTGGATTGTGCTTTAAAACATCCAGCCTTTGGCCCAGGCAGAAGCAGCTAGAGGGATCTCCTCCATAAACCAGAACCTCGGACCTCTCCGATGAAATAAACCACTGCAGGAGTCTGTCCCATTCCTCTGCTCGGAACGGTTATTGCCTGTGAATCCGAGTGTGTGTGATCTTTTGGGTCACCTTGTTGAGTCTTCGCAGAGTCCCCAAATCCTAGTGTTGACTGCAGACTGATTTGCTTCTTGACATGCTTACAAAGAGGGTTTGATGTCTGGAGCTGGGTGTGCTATATACCCCGGCCTCAGGACGAGGTCCTGCTCAGAGCAGCACCCCTTTCCCCAAACCCTGCTCAGGCCGACTGGTAGAAAGAAGGAGAGCAGCTCCTGCTGCAGCCGAAGGGGACAAGAGGTGACAGTCCCACCAAGTCCCTGGGTCACGAGACTCCACACAGAAGCTACTTGTTCACTCTCAGACATGACCTTGGGGTCCCAATAGACCCCGAGACTGAAGTTTCATCCTTTTGAAAGGCATGCCAAGTGCTAAGTTCTGATTTTTACTTTCTGTGCGGAACAGAGGACTTAGAAAGCTTGTGTCTTGCTTGGTGACTCCCACCCGAGTCAAAAGGGTTAGAAGCTGTCCCCATGCCTATAGAAGCTCTTATTTCAAATTCTGCCTCCAATGAGAAATCACAGCGGGAAGTATGCACAGTTCTGTTCTGAGGACCCTATTCTGATGATCAGAGGGCTCTGCAGCCGGGGCCTCCATTGGGCTTCACCTCCATCTCCCCGTCACAGTCACTGCTTCTACCGTGGCTCCCCTGGGACTCGGCAGCTTACTGTAGTCACCGCCCCCCAACCCTAAACGTGCCTTTTCTCTTGTCTAGACGTTCTCCCCAACCCTTCCCTCCCAGATGTTGGACTTTGGGCATGGGCCAGGGAGATTTTGAGTTCATAATTCAGTAAGTTACCTAACCATCTTACAAAGGTGTACACACAAAGATGTGCACACAAAGCTGGTGGGAAAGAGCCACCTGTACACAAAGGTGTGCACACAAAGACGGGGGAAAGAGCCACCTGTACACAAAGGTGTGCACACAAAGACGGGGGAAAGAGCCACCTGTACACAAAGGTGTGCACACAAAGACGGGGGAAAGAGCCACCTGTACACAAAGATGTGCACACAAAGCCGGGGGAAAGAGCCACCTGTACACAAAGGTGTGCACACAAAGACGGGGGAAAGAGCCACCTGTACACAAAGGTGTGCACACAAAGACGGGGGAAAGAGCCACCTGTACACAAAGGTGTACACACAAAGCCGGGGGAAAGAGCCACCTATACACAAAGGTGTGCACACAAAGACGGGGGAAAGAGCCACCTGTACACAAAGGTGTGCACACAAAGACGGGGGAAAGAGCCACCTGTACACAAAGGTGTACACACAAAGCCGGGGGAAAGAGCCACCTATGCAGGTACCGCAGGATGGGAGCAGTGGCCCAGGAGCGCATGCTCGGCCCGCCACATCTCTGAACTGCGGAGCTTCTGTTTGTAAAGAGCTGAGGTGACTCTGAGGAACCCATACGAGTTGTTTTCTTCCTCTGTCTGTGGGACCTTTGCCATGACTAGTGATTTTATAGGCTGGCCTCCTAAAGACACGAGTGACAAACAAATCTAGTCCCTAGTCACTGGGCTTCAGCTTCAGGTGCTGCTGAATCTTGGAGTTTCAAATGAGGTGACAGGAAACAGTGTCTGCTTCTACCAACACTCCTGGGGGGCTCTTCCCGTGTGCTGCCAGATCAGATTTATGTCTTTGGACAATGCCTAGGAAAGAAAGTATTTCTCTCTAAGGCAAAAGGTAGCCAAAGCCCAGAACTGGACATAGTCCCATATGACTAGAGGGAAAACATTCTCAAGGGAAGCTGGCTGGAGGTAGGGGTGGGGGGGATTTCTTGAAGATGGAGAAACAGAAAAAGGTTAGATGCAAATATGTTAGACAGTCAAGATGGCCACCTTGCATCTAGACTCCCAGTCCTAGCCTTGAGCTGGGAAGGGAGGGAGGCCAGTGGGGGAATGCCGAAGGTCAGCGCATGTGGGACTTGCTGAGAAGAGCGAGCTGCCACCCAGATTTTCTGGTCTGTGTGACACGTGGGTTCCAGCAAGGACGTAGGCGTGGCTGGGGGTGGCATGTGGCTCACCTCACTGATTCATGCTCATGGAGAGCTGCAAGTGCTCCAGAGACCTCCACCCCAGCCACAGTGACTGTCACCGTCCACCTCCTGCCTACCACTGCCCTCCACCTCTGACCCCAATTCCTTAGCCAGACCTGTGGGAAAAGATAGCTGTCACCTTCTACTTGTTCCCCTGCCTTCCTGACGAAGGAGATCATCTTAACTGCAGCCTCCAAGGGTCAGGAGTCAGGGCCCCACCTCCAGGTCTGCCCATGCACTCCCAGAAGTTTCTTCTTTTCCTGGCTGCCATAGATAAAGGCATAGTGTCTTTCTTCCAGGAAGCCATCTCCAGTTTCCTGTCTGTCACTTACACACCCAAGTCCCCAGTGCGCCTCTATCTCGGAGCAGATGAAGCTGTGTCATGTCACTCTGCTGTCTGTCTGTCCCCAGACTGTGAGTTCCCTGAGAACAGCAGCACTCTGTCCTAAGCCCCCTGCCAGAACAGGCAGAGAGACAGGCAGAGAGACAGGCAGAGGCAACCCTGCTGTTCCATGGGCATCCTCAATTCATTCTTTGTTAGGGCACTCCAGCCCCTCATTTTTCTGTTCTGGAACTTTCCACCAGCCTACAATGCTTCCTCAAATCAAGTATATATGATGTGCAAGAAGTGACTTCCCAAACTTCTGGTGAAGCTGAAAGACAGCACATACCTCTATCCCCTTCAGCTAAGAGGATATGCCAAGTGTGAGACTTGGTCTATTGGGCTCAGGTCTCGTTGCTCCAACTTTATAGCTGAGTGTCATTGGGCAAGTTCCTTAACCTCTCTGTGCTTCCTTTTTTTTTTCCCATCTGACATGTGAAGAACGTATTTCCAAGAGTCATTGGGAAGGTTAATGGGTAAGGGTGCATGAAGGGGTGCTTCCTAAATAGCAGTTTGCAGGAGCTGATGACAGAAGAGAAAAACTGGGGGTCCTATGATCTCACCTCCTTTTCAGTAGCCAGAAAGTCTCCAGCAAAGTAGACCTGTTCCAGGTAACAGAGTGTTCCCTTCCCTAGCCCCTCCCTGGAGTCTGGGAATCCTTTAGTTCCTATATGCAGCCTCCCTAGAGTATGCTCCTCACCAGTACGTCACCATGTTAGTACCCTACCTGTTCCCCTGGGTAACCACAGTCAAAATGCCCCAAGCTTGCACCCCCACTGCATTTGCTGGGACTGTAGCATCACACAGACCAGGGAGCCGAGGCTGGACCTGCCCCGGATCCAGCAGTCACCTGTCTGAGCAGACCTCAACCTCAGGCTTCTGACCCAGCATGGCTGACAGATTCAGCTTCCAGACACCCCTGTGAGTCTCCGTATCCAAAATCGGTGGTTAGTGGGTTGTTTAGTTGCTGGTCTCTGCGGGAAGATAATAGGACATGGCGGGGTCTCTGAAATTATTGACTGTAAACTGGGGTTCCAAAGTGAGATGGAGAAGTCGGGGGTGTTAGGGCTCCAGTGGTGGACCAGAGTGCATCAGAGGTTCATTTTGCAGAATGACCATAAGACTTAATGTCACTTTGAGTCATCAAGTGCCAGACTAGATCCTGGTTTGCTGTTTTTGTTTGTTTGTATTGTGCAGTAGTTTTCTCTAGATAGCAACAACAAAAGCAAAGGGCATCAGAACTCTACCACAGAGGGTTCTCCTAAGCAAGAAGGCAGTATGACCCTAGACTGTACTGTGGGAGGTAGCAGTGCATGGATGCCCTTACCACCCCCATAAGCTGTGCCTCAGAGATGTGAGTAAGAGAGTGTGGGGTCTCGAATGCCCAGAGCTCAACCCTTACCCCTCCTGGCAGCTGCCAGGTGTTGTCACCACATCTGTGAGTAGCTGGGGGTTTTCATGCCTAAGTGTGTAACAGAACAGCATCACTTCCTACAGGATTATTCGCTTTCCCCATGTGGGGGTGTTGGATCCTTGGGGGATACTGGAGTTACATTGCCCTTCTAAAGGCTCAGGGGAGGTAACAGTAAAATGGATGGATGTTTACCTTTTTTCTTCATGGCTAAATAATGCTCCATTTTGTGTATGTACTCTACATAGTCTTGATCTATTCATCTATCAGTTGGCATCTCAGCTGACTCCATGCTCTGCCTGCTGTGAGCATTGCTGTAGCACATCTCTGCATGGTGCTGATTTCATTTCCTGTGGATATTTATTGGAAGTAGGGGAAACAGATCCTGTGCTGGACCTATGCTTTTCCCGTGAATTTTCCATACTAGCCGGAGAAGTGTACATTCCCAGCCACCTATGCTTGGTTTCCTCCATGTCCTTACCGCCATTAGCTAATTCTCGCTTTATCCCTGAGCACATGCTGACGAGGGTATGCTGGTTTACATCTCCCTGATGACTTGTGAGAGTGAGGAGTTCGGGTTGGAGGGATTGCCTTGTTTGGTTTGTTGTTTGATTTGGTTTGAGTATTTTTTTAAATACTTGTAAGCTATTTGCATTTCATTCTTAAAGAAGTATCAAGCTTGGCAGAGTGATTGACACCTGAAGCAAAGAACTGCAGGAAGCTAAGGCCTTCCTGGGCTACTGTGTAAAACCCTATCTCAAATGGGGGAGGGAGCTGGAGAGATAGCACAGGGGTTAAAGTGCTTGCTCCTCTTGCAGAGGACCCTGGTTCAATTCCTAGTTCCCAAACAGTGGCTCACAACTGGCTGTGACTCCATTCGTGGTGCTCTCTTCGGGTCTCTGCAGGTATTGCCTCACGCGGCACACATGAACTCACAAAGGAGCATACATACGCGTGCATATAAATAGAAATAAAAAAGTAAATAAAGCTCTTTTAAGGTGCTGGGGATGTGACTCTATTGGTACAGTGCTTGCCTGGCATGCAGGAAGCCCTGGGTTCAATCCCCAGCAGTGTATAAACGTGGCATGATGGGATGAACCTGTAACCAGCACTAGGGAGGTAGAATCGGAAAGATCAGAAGTTCAAGGTCACTCAGCTACATGGGGGTTTGAGCAGAACTGGGTTAGAGATGATGTTGGTCACTTGGCCGTCTCTGGCCTGTCCTTGGCAGCAAGGAGGGTGGGACTGTAGGAGATTGTGGGGCGTGCAGTAAATTAGACACAGACAGAGAGACAAGTCCTGTGTGTTCTCTTTCACATGTAGAATGTAGAATAGCGATTATCGATATATAATATATATATATATATAGTATACACATAATCAACTCTCGCACTGAACCCCAAAATAGTAAACTAATACTTGTTAATATTTTTTTAGTCTCAAATGAATGGATGAGCTTTGCCTAAAGCTCCAAGGCATGTTTTGTGGCCTTGACTATACCAGCGTAGAACTCTTTCATCAGGTAGTAAGCCACCTCCCACCATAGGTTTGGACTGGATCCTGGCATCTCCAGCCTCCAGCCTCTCCCCCAATCCCATTGCTGGAAGCGGTACTGAGATAGGCAGCTGGGTTGGAAGATGTGCCATCAGCCCTCACAGCTCTTTCTCCTGTGAACCAGAGAAGTTTGCTTTCTGTGAACTAGCCTTGTGTCCTTGGTGCCCGGAGAGTACAATCTTCTCACTGCAGGTCCTGCGTGCCCTCACGGAAGCCTCAGGCTCAGGCAGGATCCCACATTCCCTCTGAGGACAGACTAAATGGTCCTGATTTTCCAATGCTCAATTTCCCTTTTAGCTCTCAAAGACTCCAGTAAGAGATCCATCAACAGCGACTGGAAGATCGAACTCCCTGGAGAGTTCCAGATTGCGGGAACAACCGTCCGCTATGTGAGAAGAGGCCTGTGGGAGAAATTTTCAGCCAAGGGACCCACCACGGTGCCACTGCATCTGATGGTAAGTGCTGGCCCTGGACATTTGCTTAAGCTGGCATCTTAGTGGGCTTATTAGTCTTGTTCTCAGGACCTGGGTGAAAGGGGATGCCTCTGGTTCCCAGGAGTTTGCAAGGCTCCCTGCCACTGAGGCCTTTCCCTCTTCACTGTTATGTTCATTTGTTCATCTGTGTGTGTATATGCATATGTGCCATGTGTTTATATGGTGTGTGTATGTGGTGAATGCACATGTTCTTGAGGGAACGCAAATGTGCATTCCGGTACACATTTGTGCACACGTGTAGATGCTGAGGTCAGCAGCCAATGTCTTTTCTTGATTGCTGTCTACATTTATATGTTGAGACAGAGTCCGTCACACAACCTAAAGCTCATCAATTTGGCTAGGCTAGCTGGCCAATAAACTTCATTAATCCCCTTATCTCTGCCCACACCTACAGTTCTGGGATTACACACTCATGATGTCATGGCTGGCTTTTTTCATGCATGCTGAGGATCCAAACTCAGCTCCTGGGCTTCTGTAGCATATGTGTTACTGACTGAAGCATGCACATTACTGACTGAAGCATGCACATTACTGACTGGAACATGCTGACTGAAGCATGCACATTACTAACTGGAGCATGCACGTTACTGACTGGAACATGCACATTACTGACTGGAACATGCACATTACTGACTGAAGCATGCACATAACTAACTGAAGCATGCACTTACTGACTGGAGCATGCATATTACTGACTGAAGCATGCACATTGCTGACTGGAGCATGCACATTACTGACTGGAGCATGCTCATAACTAACTGAAGCATGCACTTACTGACTGGAACATGCACATTACTGACTGGAGCATGCACTTACTGACTGGAGCATGCACTTACTTACTGAAGCATGCACTTACTAACTGAAGCATGCACATTACTAACTGAAGCATGCACATAACTGACTGAAGCATGCACATTACTGACTGAAGCATGCACATTACTGACTGAAGCATGCACATTACTGACTGGAGCATGCACATAACTAACTGAAGCATGCACATTACTAACTGAAGCATGCACTTACTGACTGGAGTATGCACATAATTGACTGAAGCCTGCACATTACTGACTGGAGCATGCACATTACTCACTGTAGCATGCACATTACTGACTGAAGCATGCACATTACTCACTGGACATGCACTTACTGACTGAGGCATCTCCCCAGCCCTCTACCTCTCTCTTGGTCTCATTCCTTCCACCTTGGGGTTCCTCCCCAGAATCTCCTCCTGGCTCCTCACTAGCAAAGCACCTATCTTTTTCAAAGGGAGAGCCTTCCAGGAAGGGATTGTGCAGTCACATGGGTGGCAGCCAGGCACAGCTGGCACCATTAAGCAGGTGATCATTGTCTTACTTTAGGGTTTCCATTGTGGTGACCAAACACCATGACAGAAAAGCAGCTTGGGGAAGAAAGGAAAGGCTTTGCCTGGTCCACATATCCAGGGTCACAGTCCCCTGAGGGAAGCCAAGGCAGGAACTCAAGCAGGGCAGGAACCTGGAGGCAGGAGCTGAAGCAGAGGCCATGGAAGGGTGCTGCTTCCTGGCTTGCTTCCAATGGCTTGCTCAGCCTGCTTTCTTAGAACACCCAGGATGACTTGCCCAGTGGTGGCTCCACCCACAATGGCCTGGGTCCTTCCATGTCAATAACTAATTAAGAAAATGGCTTATAGCCCCATCTTATGGAGACATTTTCTCAACTGAGGTTTCTTCCTCTCAAGTTGACATAAAACTTCCCATCACAGCTGTGCTCAGAATCTGCTTTTGCATCAGACAGCAGCATGCACAGAGCTATCCTAAAGCTGAGATACACGCTCTGGAAGTGGACTGTGGGTGCAATATATGGTATCACTCAGACTGGCCAGATTCTGCTTGTGACCAGAGCTGGGGAATCAGGAAAGAATCTGGTTCCATCTTCTGTTTACTCCCCAGGTGGCCTTAGGAAACCTGTACACTCAGGCTAGCCAGGATGCCAGGGTTATCTTTTATTTCCTGGAAACTCCATGATTGCCACTTACACATGGGCTCAGTATCAAAGGCCTCCAGGGCATCATGCCACGGCTGCCTTCTCAGGGTCTGAGTGATCTCATGGACTATGTATGACAACACCCCATTATGGATAATTTTGTGAGGGTGCTAGAGATTAAACGCAGCCCTTGTGCATGCCAGGTGATGCCTGTTGATTCTGACCTCCTGAAGATCAGGATTTGTGGCAGTTTGTGCATGGTTCATGTCTGAAGTACCTGCCAGTCTCCGAAGTTCTGTCCCCCATTTATTTGTGCCCCTGGAGATGAGCTAACACTCAGAAGATTCTCTGGCCAGCACCTACTGTGGGTGTTGAGTGTGGCCTGATGAGGGTGCTGACCCCATTGTAGTTTCTGCTGAGCTGAAAGCCAGCCAGCTTCCATGTGGGCCTTAAACTATCTGGGAACCTGCCAGTGATTCCACTGGAGATCATTTCTGCAAGTAGATCTCCGGGACCCAGGGACCTGTCCCAGAGCCATTGCTCCAGGATGAGATGTTTCCCAGTCAAAGCCTTTGAAACAACCCCCCACAACTATTCTGAACTCAAAGCAAATATTCAGAGGGGCACAGAGAGGGGGCTAGAGACAAAATAAAGCCCGTGCAGAAATATCAGCTGTTAGCTCAGGACTCTGCCTTCTCTAACAAGCATTGAAGTGTGCATAGGGCCTTTCTTCACCAAAAACTCTTATACACAGACGGGTCTTCAGCCCAGGGAAGCCTGGACACAGCTGTAGGCTATTCGGACTGTAACAGAAGTCAGAGAAAGTATCTCGCAACCATCTGGGTGTTCAGCCCTTATTTAATATTTAATTGCTTTGTCCCTGGAAATGTGCTCTTTACTCCACATCACATCAAGGTTCCCTTGCCTCAGCATAGAAAGCTGTGGTCCCCAAACTGGGATGTGTACATCACTTTCACAATCAGGAATACCTATGGAGTCCTGGAGATCAGCATTTGAAACAAATAGATGAATTCATACACTAATCACATATGGCTATGAAACTAGTTTCCTATGGAGCCTCAATTTGCTGGTCTCATTCTCACACTGGGATAATAAAGATCTCTTGTAAAGACTAGTCACTTAGTTTTTTGTTTGTTTGTTTATTAGTTTTTAGGGGAGTGGGGGTGGGGAGGGCAGTGTTTTTTGCTGTTGGTGTTTTGTTTCATTTTGCTTTTTAGCAGGAAACATTTCTCCCAGTGTGTGGCTGCAGGTCTACTAGCTGGGGAAATAAAAATGTATTGGGTCTGCTTCTAGGGCCCCAACCCCCATCCTTCAGCTCAGCCTTGTAGGCCCAGGAAGCCTTGGGACAACACCCTTCTGTCATCTGACACTTCTGTCCTGGTCTACCAGAGCCTAGGCAGGTGGGCTGGGCACTCTGCCTTTAACTCCTTGCTGGGCCCTTCTCCTAGACCTCTGTAGCTGGAAATGAACTTGCTAGCCACTTAGCCCTAGGGACATTCACTGGTCTACAGCCAGGTCCATCTCCCACAGAAAAGCCTGCTTTGCATCATTATGACTACATAACACGTCTACATTATGTCAAAAGCCAGCCGGGCACCCGGTGGTCTTACAAGGCTTGTCATGTTTTTCCCCAGGCGAAGCACAGGCCCTTCTGTTCTGAACCCTCACTAGGGTTTCAGATGCATGGTCCCCAAGCTGTAGCATGGCCCCCACAGGTGATGCTCAGACCTCTCTGCACCTCCATCGACCCTAAATGTTCAACCATGACCCAGGCCTCTTGCCTTCCAACAGACATAGTCATCATTCAGGCTCCATAGCAGTTAGCAGGACCAAGATGCAGACATCCTCAGCATCCTTCACACAGGTCTCCTCAGATCCCTCTGCTACAGGCTGTATCTCTCGTTCTCTTGAACCTGACGGTACCCCTGAGTAAACTTACTGCAGTGTAAGTGACTGGTGATGGAAGACACCATCAGGAGGACAGCCCTTGTCTCGGTTAGTGTTTCTGTTGCTATGAAAAGCACTCTGGCCAAGAGCAGCTCGGGAAGGAAAGCCTTTACTGCATCTTGCAGTTCCAGGTCTGTCACTGAGGGAACTCAGACAAGACAGGAACCAGGAGGCAGGAGCTGAAGCAGAAGCCATGGAGGAACACCGCTCACTGCCTTGCTCCTCATGGGTTGCTCAGCGTACCGTCTTATAGCACCCAGAGACGGCACCACCCCTAGGAAGCTGGGCCCTCCCACCACAGTTATCAATGGAGAACATGGTGCCCCGGGTTGCTGATGGGCCAGTTTTCTCTGTTGATGCTTCCTCTTCCCAGTTTGTGTCAAGTTGGCATAAACTAGCCAGCAGCGAGCTTATACTCAAAGAAATGGCTTAGCGCTGCCCTCGGAATTCTTTCTAGGAGAAGTAGTGTGTTTGTGTCTTTCTCATCTGCAAGCACAGCCTTGTAGGCAAGTTGATGGGAATGTGGACCCTGCTGCATGACATAGAAAAATGCCACACACAGACAGCTTGTGGTTCACCACCCCAAATTCCTCCTGTAAACGGGTCCTCTGTAGAATAGAAAAGAGCAGAACTCACCAATAATAGCGTGGTCGCCCCATACCCCAGCCAGGTCCCAGGAACCTGAAGCTGAGATGGACACCTCTGGCTTTCACCTGCTTTGATCTTCAGGAAGGAGCTGGCTAGTAGAGAAGCAGCCACGGTCCCTCAGATTGCACAGTCAACAGTCCGTGGGTGCTCACTCCATCTCAGCAAGGCCTGCCTTTTCTCCTGGCTCCAGGTGCTGTTATTTCATGACCAGAACTATGGAATTCATTACGAATACACCATACCAGTAAACCAGAGTGCTGAAAATCAGAGCGAGCCCGCCAAGCCACAGGATGCTCTGTTTCTCTGGACCCACAGTGGTTGGGAAGGGTGCAGTGTGCAGTGTGGAGGAGGTAAGGTGGGGAGTCGGGGAGCTGAGGGTGCTGCCTTGCTGAAGAAATACTGGGTTCAGGGCCCTCTGCACCAACCAGTCCGCCCAGTGTAGAAATAGAGCATTTGTAGTTCCACAGGAACTCAAGCCCTGAAAATCTCAACGGAGCGTGTGACCAAGCCATCAGAGCTACCACAGGTTTGTTAGGGGTCCACACTGCTCCTCGGCCTGGACTTGAAGTCTGGCAGTAGAGATTTGCCAGTCATATGACTGTGTGGTAGATACGAAAACAAAAGTGGCCTTGGGGATAATCACAATAAACTTCCAACTTGGTGGAACGACACCAGATGAGGACCTCACCCATACCCAAGTCCCCTGTCCTCTCTGCCATGGTCACACTCTCCAGGGTGCAAAGGAAAGAGTCCTTCGGGTCAGGCAGAGCACACCCCGAGTGAGTCCTGACACCGCATCTCTCTGCCCAGCCTCAGCAGACAACCTGCCCCCTCTGCCCACCCCTGCACTTTGTCACCCCTAAAGTGTGATGACTGCCCCACACTTTCTACTAGGAAGAGCCAAAGGGACTGTCACACTGCAAGGCCCTACCTAAGCAAAGGGGGTGTGTGTACTGGTAGGGCATTAAGAAGGAGCGCTGGTAAGCTGCCCAAGTTCCGATGAAGAAGTCCCCAGCCATGCCAGCAACTGGGGTCACTGAAACAGATGTCAGAGTAGGGGAGGGCTTGTCGGGAAGGTTTCAGTAAGGGCTGGGGGTAAGAGAAGGTAACAGGTGGAAATGACCAAAATTCAATATATACACATGCGAAACTATCAAAAAATAAAAGAAAGAAATGAAGGGTTTACCAAGGAGCAGCAGGAAAACTACTTGTAAGAAAGTAAAGAAGCTGCCGATGTGACTGTTCTCTGGTGTGGGAAGGTTTGATTGTCGGTGAGAGAGGGAAAATATCCAGAGGCAGCTGGAAGAGTCTAGAACAGAGAGAGAAAGAAGTAGACTGGACATAGCCGGGGCCAGGGAAGTGGGAAAGCTGCCCAGGAGCACATGGCACTGAGGCATTGTCACACTGGGCAAAGCAAGCCTGTAGGTCCATCACAGCAGCCACCCCGCTTCTCTCGAGAAACAAGCCTGTAACAAAGTGGTGACCGCACTCTCCGTGAAAGCTGATGTACAGGTGTAATTGGGACCAGATCTCCATAGACTTTAAATCTCAAGCATGCAGATCAAAAGATTAGCAATTTCTGATGGAAATGAAAGCCCCAAAGCAAAGCGTTGGCCTTAGAAACTCCCAGGCTCTCCAAGGACACACTGACCTGAAGGTCCCCCTGCTTTCTCAGGTTGTTCTAGAATATTGCCCTGCTCCAAACAGCTCTGCTATGCCTTAAACACCCATTCCTAAGAGAAGAGCTCCCCCTCTTTGACAACCAAAATGGCTCACTCACTGATCAGCAGGTGCAGCCAGACACCCCTCCATAAGCATGAATGAATGGTTTTCTGGGTATGTGCATCCATAACTTCTTAGCTCCCGTGGTTTGGCTTCCAGGAGAACGCAGGACCATCGTATCGTGCACCCGGATTGTTAACAAGACCACAACCCTGGTGAATGACAGTGACTGTCCCCCAGCAAGCCGCCCTGAGCCCCAGGTCCGAAGGTGCAACTCTCACCCATGCCAGTCCCGGTAAGTCGCTAGACTCTATGGCTTGGACCACCAGCGTGTTGGATAACAGCATCTTGGATGAGGGGATGGCAGTCCACAGTTAACACCATAGAACTGTCCTGTGCCACATTCCGGTGGCGTGGCGAGTGATTTTTTGTTTGCTCAAAGCAGTCATGTTGCTTGACAACATGGGCACGTTCTAAGAAGACCCTCTTTAGACAAATGTAATGTTTGCTACACAGGTAGGCTGACTGCGTAGAAGTGTTACAGGTTATTGTTCCGAGGGCATGAACAAAATAGAACATTAATTTAAGCATAAAATGATATCATCAGTAGACACGGAATGGGAGGGCTGGTGCTGTTCTAACACAAACTTCTCTTCAGTGAACAATATTTTTCAACAGGAGTGCATTCTAAATAACAATAGCAATTCTAGCATAGTAAGTACATGAACCAGTAACTTATTCTCACTTTTTATCATTGACAGTAGTGTGTACTGTACTATGTGTTGGGGCTGGGGAGATGGATCAGTGGGTAAAGTGCGATCATAAGGACCTGAGTTTGGGTCCTCAGCACCCATGTAAAAGATGGGAACATCTGTGTGTATGTCTGTAACCCCAGAACTGGAGGGATGTGTGGAGACAGGAAGATACCCAAGGCTTGCTGGAACCAGTCTACCAGTTAGTGAGCTCTAGGTTAATCCAGAGACACTGTCTCAAAATAAAATACAATAAAGTGATAGAGGGAAACGCCCAACACTGACCTCTGACCTCCTCATGAGCATACATAGGCAAGTATAAGACATGTAGATTTGCACACACTCGCATATCCCAGCCCTCTCCAATAATAATAAACGTGACAGCCCAGTAGGGTTGCTTCCATGAGCATTGCCACAAGCATGGTGCATTGCACTGTGACATGGTGGAGGTGATGGGAATTTTTCAACTCCATTGTAATCTTATGGCACGGTCTGTTACCAACTGAAGCACCACAACATGGCGCCGTTCTGACCTTCTATCTTCTAAGCCAGAACACTAACGGAAATATACTGTCCTAGCTGGAGGGCAGCTTACAGGTCGTGACTGACAACATCTCACAGAGAAAACGTTGCCCTGGACACACACTTTTGACTGGCACCCACTGGCTCCCCTAAATCGCTTATCTGGAGGAAGAGGAAATATGTGCTAGAATTTTAGTGTCTAAGAATAAAGAGTCCACAGGGGCTAAGGGCTGTGGTCGACCTGTCTCTGTGAGTGTCTGTTGTTGTGTGGAAACCGTCTGTACTTCTCTGCCAGCCCCAGCTGAAGCATGACATGGCCGTGCTGCCCATGTGCTCTGGCGTATAATCTGGAGTTCTGGACTGGGATGAACTGTGCCAAGAGCGTGCGCTGGTTTCCCGTGTTTCTTTCAGCTGCTTCAGTGGCCAGAGCATGGTTCTTGGGGACTGTGATGTGCTGTGTGATGTTACTCCTTTGCCTCCTTTCTGCCCCTCATTGAGTGACTAGTTTTTTCTTTGTGGCCCTGCCCATCATGTCAAGGCATGTTTACCTTTGCTGACTAGGCTTTGCTTTTTGATGTGGAGTCTTTGGGGTCTTTTAAGCATGGCGCATACCCCTGGCCTGATTCAGGAGTCTCATAACATGTTTGGCTTTTGTATCAACCCTCTTTGCTTATACTGTTTTTATTTTTTAATTGTGTGTGTGTGGGTGCGCGCGTGTGCACGTGCATGTGTGTGTGTGTGTGTGTGTGTGTGTGTATTTGTGTGTGTGTGTACACATACTCCATGGCACATGTGTGGAGGTCAAAGGACATCTTTCAGGCATTGATGATCTCTTTTCACCACGTGCGCCCCGGGTATCTAATTCAGGTTGTCTGGGTTGGCCCAGGCACCCTAACCTTCTAAGCCATCATTACATCATCACAGCCTTTGTTAAACTTTTAGCATGTGCTTAAGAGAAGATGGGAAGGAAAAGCAAGCAGGTGGTGGTCCTTATGTTGATTTGGTGAGCTCCTCCAAAATTAAGAATGAAAGTCTTCTTTCGTGCTAAAGGCTTTAAGGGAGGACTCATCAGAAAGTCTGCATTTGGTTAGTTTTGAATGTCAACTTGCCACAACCTAGAATCACTAAGAAAAGATCTTCAATTGAGAAATTACTTAGATCAGGTTGGCCCGTGGGCATGTGTGGGGGTGGGGGAGCATTGTCTTGATTATTAATGGAGATAGGAAGACCCACCTTGGATGTGGGCAGCCCCATTTCATGGACTGGATCCTGAACTATTAGAGAATGAGAAAGAAAAAAAAAAACTAGGAGAGCCAAGCATCCTGGGAGCATTCACCTCTCTCTGCATTTGACCATGGGTGTGAGGTGACTAGCTGCTTGAGTTCCTAGGGACCTGGAATTGTGAGCCACAATAAATCCCTCAAGTTGTGTATTGTGAGGACTGGTAGCCATACTTCAAGCCAATCCTCCAGTCCCTTGCTCAGTTATGGGGCCAAAGAAGGAAGATCTGACAACTGTAAAAACTCAGTGATCAGACAAGTAGCAGTCTCTCTTCCTGAAACCGAGGATGGTCTATCTACCCCCAGAAGAAGGAGCAGAAAATGGGGGGAGAGCTCATTCATGACTGAGAGAGGTCAGGAGAGGCTCAAGGGGATTTAAAACAAAAACAAAAAACAAAAAACAAAAAACCAACCCTAGGGATGCCTTCATGGATCTTATTTTCTAATCAGTGTTTACAAACTACTTTAACATCTAAATTTTTAAATTATGTTCAGAAAACAAATAAAATAAAATAAGAACATGTGCTCCCCTTCCCCCACAGCAGGCCCATGGCTCCTCTGTAGAACAATTAGGAATAGGGTTTAAAAGCTGCTGCTTAAAGGGTTTACATCCTATAATGATGGGGCCACAATTAATGACAACGAACTCTGGAGAAAATACAAAAAACCAGCTATTTGAAAGCTAGAATGCAGCCAGAAGTTGGGGTGGAGGATATGCAGAGGAGACCAGAGTAGCCGGGTGAGGAGTTTCCATTTGTGACTGTTTGTCACTGCATGGACACTCTTAGTTACCTTTGACTGCTGTGACAAAGCACCCCATGGGAACAGCTTCAGTGAGGACAGGTGGCTTGTAGCTCATGGCCTCCGAGGGTTTGCAGGTGCTGTAGCTAACATAGGAAACACGGCATTGCAACTCAGCTCATGGTAAAGGCTGGGATGTGTGGTGATGCCATCTGTGGGGCTATGCAGAGCAGGTAGCCACAGAGTGCTGGAACCAGCGACCAGGCTACGGCCTTCAAAGGCCTTCCCCACAGTAACTCACTTCTACCAGTTAAGCTCCAGCTCCTAAAGGTTCCGTAGCCTCCCGTTGTAACACCACCAGCTAGGAAACAAGCATTCAAAACGTGAACTTACGAGGGAGGTCTCAGATTCAGACCTTAACAGAGGCCCAGCTAGAACAGCGATGGACTGTGGCCGAGCCCCCACACATGCTCAGGGTGACCACAGCAGCTGGAAGGAGAGAGCCAGAGGGGGCCCTCAGATTCCACAGATGTATTTGGCCCCGTTCCTGAGATAAGACACAGACGGGACAGATTTCATCTAGTAGAGCTAAGGGCGGAACTACTGTCGAAGCTGCTGCCCATCACAACGACCTGTGCTTCAGGTAGTATCACAGCCAGGTGTGCTGCCTGCTAAGCCGGAAGTTCAGGATTCTACCATGATGCTCTAGGCGTGCACCATTCAATGTGATAGCCAGTAGCTGATCCAAGGTGAAATCTGCTGTGCACATAAAATATGTGAATAAAAATGGCAGATTTCAAAGGGAATGAAATTAGAAATAGCAATGATTCAAGGTTGCAAAGTTTTTAAGATAATTTAACAATATGAAATGAGAGTGTGTAGACTATAATCACCTGGAATAACTATTTCAAATATGTTGGGGGAAAGTATGTTGTGTATTTTGTCATTATTATTTAAATATTTATTTCTTACTAAGCAGAGCATGTATGTCTTTATGCATGTGTGGAGGTGAGAAAACCATGTTGGGGAGTTGGCTCTCTCCTTGCACCCTGCGTTCCAGGAATGGAACTTACATTCTCAGGTTTGAATGGCAAACACTTTTGCCTGCCCGGCCATTTCACTGACCCTGTTGTTTTCTAGTTTGGGGGTGTTTGTGTTGTAATGCTGGGGACCAAGCCTAGGTAGGGTCTCACATTTGCCTGTTCATGCTCTACCCCGAACTACAGCTTCAGCCGTAGAACACACTCTTGAAATGAAATAGCCATGTTTCTTTTCACTGTTCCCATGCCATGGCTCCTGGAAAACGCAAATGACATGTATGGCTCATATGTATGGGACAGCACTGAGGCTGGCCAGTGAGTGCCTCATTGACAATGTTCAGGATACAACTGGAAATTAGTAGTCATACAGAGAAACAGGCCCGGAATAGAGACAGAAGAAAAGACTTGATTCCAAGAGGACACAGGTTAGAATTAAAAGAAGAGGGTTTTTTTTATTCTTTAGCTTTCTCTCTAGCGTTTTCCACAACATAAAGGTAAATAAAATCTAACAAAGTGAATGTGCACAGGAACCTGTTTTCCTGACTCTGGCCCTCTACACTATGTTTTTAATATAATATTTTTATTAATTTTTCAAAAATGTTCAAGTTGGGCAGTGGTGGCACATTCTTTTAATCCTAGCACTTGGGAGGCAGAGGCAGGCAGATCTCTGTGAGTTTGAGGCCAATCTGGTCTACAAAGTGAGGTCCAGGACAGCCAGAGCTGTTATACAGGGAAAACCTGTCTCAAAAAAAAACCAAAAAAACAAAAAGAAAAAATCATACATGTACACAATGCATTTTGATAATATTCACCCCCTACTTTTCCCTCTAACTCCATCCAGATCTACCCCCTACCCTCCATCCCTCCCAATATTATATCCCCCCCTTTTTTTTTGTAATAACCCACTAGTTCCAATTTGTCTTGCTCATATACTCATGGAGCATGGTCAACCTTCCAGAA